CAGGCACTAAAGTGCTATGACAGAGCCTCAGTGCTTGTTATGAACCATGCCTCCCTTTCAATAAGTTTCCTCGACTGTCTCTGCCACTGCATTATGGACATTTTGTTCCAGCTCCCTGTTTAAATTTCAGCAGAGAGTGTTCTGATGGTTTATTTAAGGGCCGGCAATGCCATCATAAAGTTATAAAGGGAGAAAATATCAGTAGAATATTATATACATCCCAGTGCCTTTAAGATATGTTCATAGATCTGTGCCCATAAGAAAACTCAGATGGAGCCAGCCAGTTCCGAAGGAGAGACATCCCTGGGTGTTTGGAAGGGAACGCACCCCTTGCAGAATGATCTCTACAATGAATCCCAGGGGAGAGGCAAACTTGGAACACTCTTGTGTTTGGGTTTTCACTCTTGATGTCTGCACCCGGGGCAAAACTGATTAAGTCACCTGAGGGTCAAGAGAAAGTCCAGGAGTCATTCGGGAGACAATGCATGGCTTGGGTGTTTCCAGAAAGAGGGTGCCCCACACTCAGCTCCTCCCTGTATCATCTCTAAAACATGTTGTTCTGCTGAGAGCCCACTACCAAGGCCTTTCCTGAAAGAGTATCCACTGTCCTGAAGCCAGCCCTCGAGGGGACCTCTGAAGCCACAGAGAACACTAATTGGTTGCATAAATCTACCCCATTGCTACAGATACGCACTGGTCCTGAGTAGTTCTGAGGGAAGACTTCTTGGTTAGTTGTCCTAAATGTGCCTCTGAAGGGCTCCCAAAGAAGGAAATGGTGGGGACAGAACAGTGGAAGCAGCGCTGGTGCCCAGGGAGGTGGACACTCCACGTGGCTCCTCCTGTACCAGGTCGGAAAACTAGCCTGTGGGCCAATTCCCACCTGTCGTTTGTTTTTATAAATAAACTTTTATTGAAACATGGCTATGCCTGTTCATTTATGTATTATCTAGGGCTGCTTTCATCTACTACAGCACAAGTGAGCAGTTGCAATAGAGACTGTATGACCTGCAAAGCCTAAAATATTTCTCTCTGGCCCTTTAAATAAACCTCTGTCACTTTCCATCACTGAGATTTGGGGATCTTTGTTACTGCAGCACAATATAGCTCATCCTGATTAATACAGAAGCCAACCTGATCTGCTTTCTTCCTTCCAGCTGTCTTCTGGTACAAAAGCCTCTTTTTTTTTTTTTAAATTTTGCTCTCTAACAATCAGAAAATCAGTTCAATGATGCCCACTGTCCAAGAACATGAATTTACATTCTGTCCTCGAGCCTGGTTTTTAGTAGTTAACGAGACGGCAGAGACTAAGCAGAAGAGCCCCTGTCCTTACAGCCATCTGCACCCTCTCTCATCAGACACATCCTGAGTATTATTCTTGGGCTGTTATCCCTCCTCATTAACTGAGGATTGCAATTTGGCCCCCTGAGCAGAAAACCTCCATAAACCACTGATTTCAAAAGCTCACATGTACCAGCA